TATTAAATATTCAATTTATAAAAATATATTCAATAAAGAAATCTAAATTAATTAATGAAAATTAAATATGAGAATTAAAATAAAAATAATGATAAATAAAGTGCCAGCAATAGCGGTTAAACTTTGATTATAAGTTAATAATTAATATTATTTCGAAATAAATTACTTTTTAAATTATCAATTATTGGTGAAATTTTAATTAATAAATATGATATAATTTTAATCATAAAAGTATAAAAAAATTAGATAATAGACTAGGATTAGATACCCTATTATTTTAATATGTAAAGAAGTAATTTGACACAATCGAGTTAAAGAAATTCCATTATTCAGGGATGAAGAGATTGCATAAATTTTTCGTTACAAGTGAATGAAGGATATTCGCAACGTTGCGAAATTATTTTCAGAATTAATTGCGTGAAAATACTTCTTGTATGTATCGAAACCCATGGTTATTGGCTCAGTTGTACACGCTCTTCGCTGTAAATCCCGTTGCGTTTTAGAATTTAACAACTCGCGCGAGCGTGACACACACCGTGTCAGGGAATACACTTCGCGATTCGTCTCAAGCACTGCGAATTCCATGCTCGTTTATTCTACGTGTAAATATTAAAGCCGAAAATATCGGATTGCGAAGGGAATGCGAACAGGCGAGAGCAAGCACGTCTTCTCTTCTGACGTTGTCATTCTCCCCGAGGCATACGCTTACTTCAACGTACGGATGCACGTGTATCATGCATGCATTTTATATTGCCGCCGCTTTTTCCCTGCGAAACTCAGTGCCCGAAACTCGCGGAAAAATACTCGCAATCTCTTTCCCACATTCCACCTTTGCAATCGTGCTCGAAATTTAATCGTTTCTACTTTCCTTCGATCGTACTAATAATCTCTGGCGAGGTTTTCCACCGTGAAAAACGAAATATCCCACGGTGGAAACATTCAATCGATCATTCGCAATCTCCTCTAAGTTACTGATAACGAGTAGCAAGTTCTACGTTCATTTTCAAGTTCATTTGCCTGCCTGCTGGTAAGCTAATGCTACGTCGTTTCGAAAAATTTGTTGCTGATTACGACCGACAGAGTTCCACTATATTTTTTATTACTTAAACACGACGCGACATTGCTGTGTGAAAATGTTATTAACCTTCACTCTGTGTAAAGTAAAATTAACTACGATCAATTGTAATCACAAATTTTTATCTAAGATAAATGTATCAAAATTATCATTATACAAGTTTATTGCGCGCAGTTTTATCATAAGATAAAATAACAAGATGTATATTATTACGAATTCTGATGTTTGTAGATATTATAATACGACATATAATTTCTAATATCATTTATTAATAGTTAATATAATACATTAAAATAAAATGTTTCTTCTTTAGGTATAGGGTTTCTCTAAATATAAAAAAGAATGTGATAAGCATATCACAAATATAAAAATTTCATTTCCTCAAGGAAATCGGGAACGATGGCGCAGGTGTGACGCCGAACTGAAAGTCACCGGGGCGACTCCTTAAAACTGCAGGACGTTCCGTTTTGCCTAGCCAGGAAATCGGGCAACGCTCGTGTAAATCCTGCCACGCGGACGGCACGACCGCACGTCCGTAAATGCAAGATCAAATTTACACGAGTCGAAAAGAACGATCGCGCGAAAAGTGACAAGTCAGCCTGGTTCAGCCGACGAGCTACGCCAATAAGTGAGAGACGCGGTCCTGCCGGTGCTGTGTGCAAGGGAAATCCAGGATCATCCGATCTAATCCACGTAAGAGTGGCGTGTGACACGCGTGCACGCGGTAATAAGCCGGAAGATGGGGAGGATGGATATCGTTCGCGTACGTCGGTAATTTTCGGTACGGCGATATCCAGAGGAGAAGGAAGAAGGGCCGTGCCAGTTAGGGCTGGCAATAAACTTTCAGTGGCCTTAGCCGACGCGAGACTTACCGCGCGGAATTCCAGTTTAAATTGAAAATTCCACGCCGCGAAAAGGCCGGGCAAAGTTCCACGACGTGGATACGTTAACGGGCGCCCGTCAACCCGAGCGGAATTAGAGCAGTCCGCGGCTCCTGGATATCCTTTGAGCCCGGCGAAGCGAACGTTGACTAAGATATTCCACGGTGAATCGTTATTCCTCTCGGTGCAGGAATAACGTTTAACATTGTTCGTCGTCTGACATTGCCGAGTGGCGCCTGGTTAACACGTTCGCGGGACCGATGACGTGACCGTCGTTGTGTGTCATTTACTATTTGTATTCGCAATCAGTAGTTGTAGACTGTGTGTCGCTGATTTGTATTCGCAATCAGTAGTTGTAGACTGTGTTACTGATTGAGAGCTTTATTGCATTGCTACTCGGTCATTCTATTAGTGAAATTGTAGAACAACTATGTTTCTAGTGCAATAATAGCAACGATAACAATAATAATTGAAAAAAGAGTAAGCCAAAAATGGCCAAACTTTGTTATACGTATTATGTACATCATCTATAGTACTTGGGAATTGTAGGTATAGGAACGATATATGTAGTGCGTAGAATGGATGATATATACTACTTGTGCAGAGGAAGATTACGTGAAACAAAGTCCTTTTTTAAGAAACTATAAAATTTCGAATGTAACAAAATTATCTTTCTTAACAAGAAAGAAAGAATGTAGAAAAATTACTTTTTCCATACGAAACCCAAATTGTATATGTGCATCACCTACTTTGCACTTCATAAATGTCACAACACGCAGAATTCGAAAATTTAACTATTTAAATTCACGCTTGTAATAAAAATAGCGATATCGCGTCAATGTGATAGAAAAATAATTCCTCATACCACGAGTGTGTTCTTTTTCAACAAAAATCAAATATTCTGTGCTTAAAATTTCCAAAACTCGAAAAGTTCTTGATATATTCTATAATATGTTGTCCTCTAATAAATAAACCGATTTTTTTTTTTATCGATTGTTTTTATAGATTATCCGTAAAATATTCCCAAAAATGTTAGCTATGAATTTGATCAAGTTGAACAAGTGTCGAAACATCGTCGACTATTGAGAACATTATTTCCAAAATCGAACGCGTTCGTGTGGATGTTTGACGCTCGGTAATGAGCGTCGCTGATCATGCAGAGGATAGAATTTACCCTAGAGAAAGGGGTTTCTCTGCACACATCCTACTCCTGGCCTCCCGATACACGCATTACCAAACTGAAATGCATTCGCGACAATAATGCAATATTACGTGAATCGTGGACTACTCGATTTCACTGGCTGCCACACCCCTGAGGTCGAATACCACGAGACGTGGACTAAGTACGTTTCGGTGGAAATATAGTGGCGCGCTATTCGAACCGAGACAGAGAAATATGAACAAACGATCGCCAAGAAAAATGGACGAAAAGAGAATCCGCAAATTTGAATTCGATATCTATATGAGGAAGGGGATATGAGAGAGCATCTCTTCAAAGCATTGGCAGTTATTATTTGCACTGATTCGTATTAATATTCAAACGTCACGATGTTAGGATTGACGAACACATGAAATAAGTTGGAAAAAGCTTGTTTGACGAGATCAATTTCAATTTAACGAACTGCAGAACAAATTGATATACTTGTAAAATATCATCATTTGATTATTGTTAATGATTATTTTTATTATATAAAATATTATGAATGTTGTAATATATTACAAATACGTTACTTCAGCCAAATGATTTACGAAAGTATTCGAACACTTGTCATAGAAGAATTTTTATATCAGGATAGAATGAACATCTGTTTTTATCAAAGTTGTTTCCCAAAGAGTTCACAAATTATACATTTTAATATATTTAATATCTAATAATTCTTTTACTTTATGTAATTCTTGGATTATATTAGCTATTAAATTTCGAATGGCCCACTGATCCCAAAGTGTTCCAAGTTTCATTTCGCCTTTAAACTTTCTTCATAAATGGATTGGATGCTTTCTTAGTTTCTATTACAAATACTTCCAGAGGCATTCGATAATATTCTTTCTCATGAAAGTTGAACGTTTTCCTTCCTCTTTCCATTCAACTGTTGTGAAACATTTTCATTCACATAGTACATATGAAGATTTATATTGTATAAAAAACATTCTTTTCTAATTATAAGTGTTTTGTTTACTTATTGTTAGTATACTTTTTATATTAAGTGACAGTTTAATAATACAGCAAGGGGTAAGTATTTGACACAATGCTACCTTGAAATGATGCACAAGTGAATGCATCTTCTCTAAATTATTTCGATACTTGACCATCAAAACTCGAATAATTCTCATTTTGTATTTTCTACAAGTAATTAATTTCTGAGTCTGCTAAAATTTTATCCCAGTAATTTAAATGAAAAATTATTTGCAAGTAATTTATTCAGAACTTGAACACAAAATAACTGGAAACGATCCATCATTTCGAATTCCTATTCCTCATCTTTATCTCAAATGAAATTTTCGATGAAACAAACGTATGAGAAAAGAACAAGATAGAAATGAACAAAGAAAGCAGCAAAAATACTCTTCTTCGCGAGAAGAGAAGAAAAAAACAATTTCGATCAGACACTGGACGCGAATCTCGTCACGTTACGTTAAGGTAATCTATTTCGAAATCCTTGAAGCGATCGCCGTTGAATAGTAATTAAATGTACACGGCAATATGTACCCAATATATATATTTACATCGTATTTACGTGCAACAGAATGCAAATAGAACACACACACAAAAAGAAAAAAAAAAAGGAAAAAACAGAAAAGAAGCAATGTCGAAGGAAGAAGAGAGTGTTAACTTAATATTTCGGATAGAAAAGAGAACGAGAAATGGAACAAAGGAAAGCCGGAGAGGGGAGGGGGGTAAACACCTTAACAGGATAACCAGCTGGTTTGCGTTGAGAACGAAAACAGGAATCGCGCGACTAAAAGGAGACAAAGGAATAGAGCGAATACCTTGGCAAATGGGTTCTTTAATGGAAGAAACAAATAACCTAATAAATAGAAAAAAGATCGAGGAGAGGGGAGGAGGCCGGGGGAGGGGAGGGGGAAGTAAAACGTGTTACCAGGGATGTTGCAGAGAGTGGAAAGAAAATCGTTGGGCAAAGAAAAATCGGCTGGATTCTGCATACAGTCTGCGTTGAGTTGCGAGTTCACGTTCTCGTGAAAATAGACGTGCACGAGCACGAAGCGCGTTTCTGTTCTACAGGCTCACTACATTTGCTCACGCTGTAAACGTATAATTCTCAACGACCAGAAGATTTCACCGTATTTTCATTATTACGTCGCTACTCGGCAGCCTCGCGTTCAATTATGTAATCTACGAAACGATAGAATTCTATTTAACCTTTGGAATATTAAATGGGGACACACTCAGGGACCGTGTGCACGTATATTTTTCATGAAGTTGAACAGGTGTTGAAAATCCCCCGTACGAGGAATTTCACTTGAAATTAAGATAAGAGTTAACGACTTCAAGTGACGAATTAGTTTCAATAATTTGTCATCTTGATTTTAAAAATGACACAAAAATGTTGTTTTCTATTATTAGATTTCTTCTATAAATATAATATAAATGTATAATATAAATAAATAAATATGTGAATCCGGTTGTTGTTACAATTATGTTATTGCATAATTATAATTATATAACTATTCTATTATTGTATAGTTATAATGTTATGACATTATGTATTAATATAATTTGTTATTGTATCGTTCGAAATTATGATAAAACAATTTCAAAGTAATGAATTAGCTTCAATGATTTGTTTATGCCTTTATCTTAAAAATGATATAAGAAAAGAACTAACACTATTATCCGCTATATACACTAATTTACTATGCTGATTACATTTATTACACAAGTAATAACAATAAAATAATACAAATAGATATATAAATTATATATGATTATAGTTCTACATAACTATTATATCATTACAGTTATATTGTTATAATATAATTCATAATAATATAATCCGGTAATAATTATTAAAAATCTCGCTACGCTAGAGATTAAGAGTTTGACCATTTTGAGTACAATGTGGCGCGTATGTACGTTCGGAAGAGTAAGCTCATCACGGGACGTCGTAGCAAAAGCTTATTCTTTCCTCCCTCTCTCGCGTTTCTTTCAACCGTTGATTTTCCTCTCGCGTTCTGTCCGTCCGCCAACACTCGAATCAATACCTTAGCGGGGTACTCGAATCGATCAAAACAACGAGCAGCGAATAACTCGACGGTCTATTATCCGCGGTTTGGGTCAAGTTTGCCGATCCATCAAACCGTCCATCGGGATCCATCGACGTTCGAACGAATTTAATATTAATTCGAGCTGAGAGAAGGGGACGCAAAGACGTCCACTTCACGATCACCGAGCGGACAAAGCCAGGTACACACCTGCATTGTCCTCTTTTTTCTGCCCCCCTCTCGAAAGCGACAGAACCGCGATACACGTTGTTGTTGGCTAGATACAAAAACAAGGAGACAACGCGGCCGGTGTCGTGGCCGGTCGTTCGATTCGCGACAAAATGGATACACCGGACAAGGGACGAGGGGGTAGCAACGGGACGAGAACAAGCACGATGGATATGAAAATGGACGAGTCGACGACGGAACTGCGGTTTTTTTTAACGAACATCGAACGACGCTCGATGACATTCTCCACCCAATAACCGTTATTTAAGCGAGTAACATGCGTCCCGAGCTCGACGTATCGAGCATCCGTGCAATTTCATTGACAGAAACGCGAACAAACGGTCTTCTTCCCTTCGGTTCTTAAAAAGTTTTCTGGCCGGTATTAATCGCACGAGAGAGACGAGAAAAGTGCAGAAAGTTGGACAGGGAGCTGAAAAATATTCGCCAGCCTTTCGAGAACATCGCATCGTTCGAGCGACAATTAACCCCCTGGGATTACCGAGAGCAGAGTAAATATTTAACGTAACGAAAGGCGTTAATAATTCCTACCCGAGTAGCATGCAACGAATTAAAAATACATTCATCTTTGATAGGGTTTGTTCAACATATTGTAACATGTTATCCTCTTTGAATCTCTAACAAGTAAACTAATTATACTTTAAGCGTTCTAGATTATTTGTAAGGGAATTCTGACGTCTCAAAGGCTAAACGTTGCTTACGCTCCGCGTTTAACTAAGAGAATTAATTCCTTCAAAGTATCTAACCTCTTTAAGCTGACCGTGACGTGTATATTTAATATGTCTGCTACTTAGGCGTTACATATGCGCGACGTAGGTGCCATCCAGGGAATCGTCACGGAAGATTGCATTTCAATTTTCAACAAGGGAAATAAATGAAGTTTCACTCGTTTCCATTGAGAGTGTATGTGTATGTACTTGAACATTTGTAGAAATTCTTAACAAAATTGTGAAACCTGATTATCAATGAAATGTGACTGTGTCGTAATTGTATTGGTAAAGAAAGAAATTTAAAAGTACATACAGAAGTTACAAGACATTTGTCACTGGCTTAAACTATGTCGATCGACTCGTTGTTTCTAAGTGTCCATACTTTGTTCGAAACTTTATTTTTTTTTTTATAACAACACTATTAAACAGTATTAAAAAATTACTTAACTAACTAAATTCTTACAAACGTTTGAATTAGGGTATGGAGTTAATCAAATTGGCTTCTCAATCAAATTCTCTTTAAAATAAGT